GATAAGTGCTATTGTATGTTAACTATAAGATAAAGCATTCACTAAGACAGGAGTTGTGGCTCTATAAACAACCACAGTACCTTTGAAAGGCATTTATTTATGGTTAAGAGTTGGGCATTTGAGGAACTCTGCACCTTCTCCACACTCCTAAAAAAGAATGGATCCATAAAACACTTCATCTAATGTTTGCAAAAATATAAAATATCATTTCAGAATTTTAGAGTTGCAAAAGGCCCCTATGATAGTCTGGTCAAATTCCTCCCCAATTTCATAATTGGGATAACTGAAGACTTCATTCACAGATTAAATAACTAGCTTCAAGTCTTTGGCTATATTAGCAAAGACAAAATTCTGCCCTCCTGCCTCTTTGTATACATCTCATATTTGGGCTGAGCTCTTAAAAGGACTAGCTTATTTTAGCTAGAAACAGATTCTGCATATCTACTACAATATACTAATCTTTTAAAAGTATATGATACAAAAGCAGTATGTTAATTTTTAATTTAAAATTTCATACCAACAAACTTATGATATATTGCAACCACTTTATTAATATCAAACAATGGGATAAATCCTTTAACAGGAGTATTGATTCACTGTCATGAATGTGTACTGATACTTTAGTGTAGTATCATGTTTGATACGGCCAAATTATGTGTCATTTACTTTTACTTCCACACATATAGAAACATTTATATTTCATTAGTTGATAGAACAGCACACAGCCATGTACCTCTTCTTTCTGGTTTAAGTGCATGTAAATGTTCTCATGTAAAATGGATTTTCCACCACTCAAAGACTTCATAATACATGAACAGCTTTTCAGTACACTATCTCTGCTCTGTCACCTTTTTTTTAAATTGAAGAGGAAAAACAAAAAGAGCAATACTGTGGTACAAAAGACCTTTTTACAAGGTCCTTTCTGGAGAAATGTTTGTCTGAGAATACAGTTATAGTCCTACCATGAGACTGTAAGCAAGATCATCCTACAAGGACATGGGGGTAGACTCACTCTCCTGGAGAGTTTCTGATCTTATTAAGAATATTATGACAGGGGCGGGGTATATAATAAAGACACTTTAGCAGAAGACTGTCCTAGAGAGGTTATTTTGAACATATTTCAATCCCACAATGACTGTAATGAAGACGACATGATAGCTGAATCATTCTGCTGAAGAAGTCTGTGTCTAGAAAGACACTCACGATAATATAATCAAATGCTATTAAATTTTTTTAAGTTTTGTGAAAATACAGAGGCCGGGAAAGCAGAAAAATGTAGCACTAGAACAAAGAGTAAGGAAACACTCTTGAAGAATAAACACTGAACACATAAAAATTTTAAATGGTATCTAATAAATTTTCATGTCAAATCTTTTAACTAAACATATAAAAATTTTTAAATGGCAACTAATAAATCTTCATGTGAAATCTTTCAACAAAATCCACAGATTATAAAAATTGAATAATCATAAATGTCTTATGTATAAAGTTTTAAGGGAAAATTTAAATTTCTACATTATTCTCTTAAACACTTGAGGAATTTTAGTTACTGCTGAGGAGCAGTCACTTGATACATTTCTAAAATAATTCAGTTATGAAAATAATATCATGATTAAGGTTTGGCATAGTAGCATTCCACCAATCTTCAGTCGTCCACAAATGTTAACCGTCCAGGCCCTTCATTCTTCATCCATCTCCTGTACCTCTTCCATCTGGGGTCATTTGCCAATTTCTTCTTTAATTCTTCCTCTTGTTCTTGTTTGTAGACCTGTAAGTATAAGTAACACTAAATGACTTTACAATCCAAAGAGAAACATTTGCCATAAGTTTATGGCATATTTACATTTTTGAAATATAACTTAGGTAAAAGTTTCCAGTGAACGTACTGGTTTGTCTTCTGAAAACCATTCATCTAAAAATACTAAGCAGTTCATCATTTTAACATTTGGTGTTAAATAAGAACAACCTTTGCAACAAGAACTAGTGATTTTTTGTCACTGATTTCTGGAATCTAGGAATACATTCTTTCCCTCATTGAAATCATATATAAGCTGAGTTTAATGGGCTTAAGATTTCCTCTCTACAACTCATGTCCAAAATTAAAGAATCAACACTTTATTTGTAAAATTTAACTGAT